GACACTCGATTACCAGAACACCGCTGAGACCTCCAGAGCTCCAGAACTCCCGAACGGAGGGGCCAATCAACCCCTTGTTTGGTGAATTCAATCTAACGAACAAAGGGGTTCATGCGAACGCCGTATTAGCCATGGATGGCAAAGATTAGAGACTGTTTTACCTCCCGAACGTAGACCGACTGCAGGGCCAAAACACATGGAACTCTTTTCGGCTACCTATTCGTGTGCGGTCGGTCAAATAGTTTATTCTCCATAACTCCCGAACCCCTGGTCTGATCTGGGTGAATTTTGAGTATGTTGGTCACCCAGACCAGGGCTACCAGGGGATGCCACTTAGATCCTTGTACCCCACAGTTTTGGGGTACGTCCAGAAAACAGAGAAAACTATACCAGGAATAAGTGGATTAAGTGTCACACTGAGGGGAGGGAATGTATGGGAGGGAACTACTGTACTATTGGTTACTGTTCTAATTATTGTAAATCCCTCCCTTGCATGGGAGAAACCTTTATAAGGAACTGCTGTGATTAAAAGTTTAGTTCTGCTCCTGATGTTGTGTGTCGCCCAGTCATTGGGATTGAGATTGGGATATTGTTGGAATAGTTTGCCTGCTGGAAATATTACCCTGTGGATTTATAATTGTGACGAGACCAATCTCGCCACTGTGCATTGGAGGAGCCTGGTTGCCCGCCTGCTGCCTTAAACTGTGGCCCCATGTTGAAACACTTGATTTTCCCCTGCGGAGACACGAAAGCTGGGTCATTCGGTGCTGGCCCTGTTTGAGCGGTGATACCACAGATAGCTATGCCATGGAGCCCATTCGTATAATGAAAGACTATGGGAAAGACCTTGGCTCCATGGCAATTGAACTGTATGTGTGAACTCTGAGCGCCATACAGTAATAATGTGCGCTCAGATCTGAGCTATATGGGGATATGTTGAATGTAACTGTTTTGTGCAATGGCTGCACAGTTATATGTTTTTATGTGTTTTATTGTCTTTTGCTGCCATGTGTTCAATGGAGTTTTGCCTCGGTCCTTGGAGATAGTTGGATTACTTCCCAATTATCTCCAGGATAGAAGACTCTGTAGAACTGGTTTTCGGCAGAAAAGCCATGCTTCATTTGGTCACAAAGGACTACAATCTATCGTTTGAACCACTGGACCAATTTGGATGATTTTGACATATGTTTGTATTTGGAGTATGCTGATTCTGAAAATGTAATTTTATGTGAATGTGATGCATACTTTTCAAGTTATGAATAATGTGAAAAAATTGTATTTCTCTGCTTGTGATAATTACATTACCCATTGTGTAAGGTAATTGTATCACAGGCGGAAGGGAAGATTTTGTGTGGGAGTGTCTGAGTGTATTGTATGTGTTTATTGGTTGTGTTCCAAAACCCTGTGGGGGGTACTAATAAACCTACAGCTCTGTCTGTTCATTGCTTGACCCTCAACACGGAGCTTTGTCTCGTTCTTGGGGGGATATACTGTATGCTGTTCCAGTTTGACTGCTAGGAGTGTAAACCTATTCGTATAGTTTTTCCTATTCGGCTGTTTACGGCATTCATATGCTTCTCCGGTTCGGTGGATTGGTGTCTACAGTAGCTGTGCCTGTGTCTCTGGAAGGGAAGATCTACTAAACGGCTTTTAACCCCTTTTTATGCCTGGGGGTGCCGTTACAATAATACTTGTTCCTGAGCCTTACTGGGATCTTAAGTGGAGATAGGCTGTGTAAGACCAGCTCTCCGCTACATTGGTTGGCAGCGGTGGGATCCAGACTCACAAAGGAACAAGGACTAATGGAATACGGATGGAGAGTGATTATGCTAAGCTTAAAAGCTTCACGCTAAAAGATCTCCTAGAAGCAAGAGGTATTGCAGCAAGCAACAAAAGAAAAGCAACCCTCATTGCAGAGGTGATGGCAGAATACCAAAACGAGGACAGGGCAATCCCTGAGCAGCAGCGTTCAGCACATGGATCTGAACAAGAGGAGCTTCAAAGGCAGCTACAGTTTAGGCTGTCCTTTTATGTAGAGAACCCAACGGCAGATATTATATCCAGCACGATGACCGAGGTGCAGGAGTTTATATTGTGCCAAAGACCATTACAAAACGCAGAGAGGAATACAACCACAACTACCATCACACAGGGTAAGACAAAAATACCTTACCAAGCATTTAAAACGTATGTAGAGGCAGAGGAGGACATAGATGCGTTTATCCAAGATTTTGAAAGACTGTGTGCACTGCATAATATTAGCCCAGAAGAGTGGGTACCTATTCTGGCAGGTAGGCTCACTGGGAAGGCAGCTGAGGCGTACAGAACCGTACCAGATGAGGAGATTCGGAACTACCACAGGGTAAAAGAGGTTATCCTGACCCGATATGCCATCACTCCAGAGGCATACCGGAGGCGATTTAGAGAGCTGAAAAGAAATGATAAGGACTCTCATGTGGAATGGGCTTGCAAGCTACACCGTGCTGCTCTCGGATGGGTACAGGCAAACAAAGCTCGGTCCATGGAGGACTTATTACAAATGTTGTTATTGGAACAATTCTATTAGGGCATCCAGAATGATGTACAGGAATGGGTGAGAGACTGCAATCCCACCTCCCTCACAGAGGCAGCTAAGAAGGCAGATGAGTACTTAGATGCCCGCAGACAACAAAAACCGGGCCCCATCAAGACAGTAACACGACCAGTAGGGGGGAACAGCCCATACCCCAACACAGCAACGCCACCGCGACAACTTCCTCCTTATCCACCAGCTACCTTATCCACCAGCTACTATAAACAAGAGTGCCCCCAGTTAAAAGACCGCTCTACCTGGATTCGTCCAGGCCTACCTCCACCACCTCGAGCAGCGGCTCACTGCTACCAATCGGAGACAGCAACACCATATGGCGCAGCAATTCCCATAACTACAGTAGAACAATGGGAAGTGTTACATGAAGCCGATCCCATACAAGCAAATGCAGTCAACCGTCAGCATCACAGGCAAACTGTATACCTAGAGGGGAAAGCAGTCCAGGGTCTCCGTGACTCGGGGGCCACCATCACCCTGGTCAAAAGTCACCTGGTACCTGATCAGGCCAAGACCAGCAGAACAGTAGCAGTCAGGGTAGCCGGGGATGCAGTATACCCACAGCCCGGGTACATTTGCATTGGGGAGTGGGCTTTGGAAATGTGAAAGTGGGGTTGATGCCCCAACTGCCGGCAGAGGTTTTGCTGGGGAATGATCTGGGCAAACTTACTTCTGCTTTTGAGCCCCAGGCTCCAACAACCGGAGAAGCACACCTGGTGGCTACGCGACAGCAGGCCCGCACTCAGGACTACAACACGCTCCCGGAGGTCCAGGTAAGAGATCCTTCCCCTGCCATAGCATGTATCCCCTGGGCCCCCCCTACCGAATTTGCGGCCGAAGTAATCACTGACCCCACATTACAGGTCTATAGAGACAAAGTCACCTCAGATCAACCTGGGGGGGAGGGCGAAAGATTTGTATGGGATAACCAGTAGCTTTATAGGGAGTTTTACAAGCAGGTAGCTGGGTCAGACCCTATTGTTATGAGGCAGCTAGTCGTACCACAACGGTACCGATCTGAATTACTCTGGATAGAGCACAATATTCCGCTATCCGGACATTTGGAGGTCAGTCATACCCGGCACCGATTGACCCAAAGTTTCTTTTGGCCGGGAGTTAGTCAGGAAGTCCGCAGGTATTGTAATACGTGTGACACGTGTCAACGAGTGGGAAAGAGAGAGTAGAGTAGCTGTAGATTTAATAGGCCCCCTACAGAGACCGAGCCCCTCTGGGAAAAAGTATATCCTAACCGTAGCGGATTATGTCACCCGATATCCAGAGGCGGTTGCGCTGACTAATATCCATGCAGAGACAGTGGCTGAAGCCCTGATGCAGATTTTCTCCCGGATGGGGTTACCCAGGGAGATCATCTCGGATCAGGGCACACAGTTCACTGCGGAAGTCACCCAAAGCCTCTGGAAATGTTGTGACATCAAGCCGATAATTAGCGCCCCATATCATCCCCAGACCAATGGGTTATGCGAACGGTTCAATGGAACGTTGAAACAAATGCTCCGAACCTTTGCAGACACCCATAGGGACTGGGAGCGATTCCTGCCCCATCTCCTGTTTGCCTACAGGGAGGTGCCGCAGGAGTTGACCGGGTTTTCTCCCTTTGAATTGCTATTCAGATGGAGGGTAAGGGGGCCCCTTGACCTGATTTGGGAACACTGGGAGGGAGACCGGAGCGCAGACGGTACCCCCATCATACCCTATGTACTGGCATTTCGAGATTGTCTAGAAGCATTAACGAAGTCTGTAAGGGAGAATCTACAGGCGGCTCAGACGCGCCAACGCACGTGGTATGATCGGGGCACCAGGGACCGTAGCTTTCAGGTTGGGCAGAAGATTCTAATTTTGAAACCTGTCCGACATGATTAGCTACAGGCCGCCTGGCAGGGCCCTGATAAAGTGATGGAGCAAAGATGTGACACAACGTATATAATTGGCGCCTGCGCTGGAACTGGAGGGCGACGCATGATCCATGTGAACATGATGAAGCCCTATCAGGAACATTCAGAGGAGGTAACAGCCATTTGTGCCCCCTCCACTGAAGAGTTCGATAACCTGCCACGGTCGGCTGTCAGGGGATTTGGGGGAAGTTACTCTGGGGGATCGGCTAGCCCACAGGAGAGCACCGAGTGAAAGGGTTAATGTTGTAATGGACTCTAATCCCCTCGGTTCTCGATCCCTCGGTCACCATAATCAACGTTGATGGAGGATCATTTGTAAGCAATAACACACGGACAACAGCTTTACAAGACTCTCAAATGAGTGTATTCCAGAGATGGCTTTTATACATAGTTTGCTTACATTAGCCATGGTATATGCAAATACAGTACAGACTATAAGATTTATTACTTCCTTGTATTACGTTATTCTGACAATGGAAAGATAAGCTTTTGCATACGTCTGGAAAAGAATATCCTTAAAATCGGAATGGGCAAGACATCCTGAAATTTAGCATTGTCTTACATCCTATAGAAGAAATACCTTAGTCTGTCACAGTCAGCATATTGACTTTAAGTATTCAATATCCCTTCAGTCAGCAATAATCATGTTATAAACCTTATAAAAGCATAAAATACATATAAACAAGTTAACTATTTAATATTCTTACATTCCCCTCTTTGAGCAATAAAACAATTGCTCATCTTATCGATAAAATCTTACCAGGACAGAGAAACTTCCACATGGTATTTTCAGGGGTGCTAGTCACTCCCTGCGGGACTTTCATTAATTTCTTCACCTCGATTCCCATGTGGTAATTCCTAAGGCCCAGTTTAAAGATGGGTTGATACTCTACAGTGGCAGAGAGGAGAATTTCTAATTGTTTCTGTTCTGCATTATGGATTCATTTCTGTACTCTCTTCCTCAATGTACAAACAAGATGACAGTTATATAAAATCATACACAATAAAATCAGGACTATAATAACAAAATGATAGAAGAATGATTTCATTATCTGAGATCCAGTAGGGGACCAACCAGTAAAGCATTGTACCAATGATGGGCTAAATCATTCTGAATTTGTGAACTCACCTTAAGGAGTTCTCCTTTTAGGATATGTGTGGCTACCTGTGTGTGTTATCTTTGGGAAAAATATAGTCCCCTGTGTATGTGGGTGCCCACCAGGTTAAATTCTTGGCAAAAAGATCATAAACTGGTACTGGTAATGTGTTAAATTGACAAGCTAATTTAACATCCTTTGATGATGTATGATATAATGTAAAATAACATGAGCATGAAAAATGTGAAACATTACCAGTTAACCATCCATTGCATTTACTGGATTGGGGTTTTAGAAGTAACCATTCATTATCTGTGAGGTTACACATTCCTCTAATCTTCTCTAGTTTAGGAATCATTAGTGTGTTTTCTAATGCCAATCCTTGTTGTTGTATCCATAAATACCTGATGGCACAAGTACTCCAGTTACTTAGACCTGTAGTGAATTTCATAGTTGCAACAGTTAAATTATCTAAATAATTATACATTGATTTATCTAAATCCAATCCTGTAACCTGTGATTTAACAACAATTGGAGCCCAATTTGCAGTAGCATGAAAACCAGTCCCTATATGCATGCTGGCTGTGTTTAACTTATTCTTGAGGGTCTCCATATCTATAACTATTTAGTATACCCATAGTGGTTCCAGCACCTCCTAACAGTGTGTCATACCATTCCCTTTTCTGCCTTTTGTTTGCTGTGTTACATAATGTTACAACAGGAGTAGTGATTTTTAATGACACATGTACAGCTTGTAAGAAGGCAGTTGTATTAACACATGTGGACGGAATAGGTGTGTGTGTGTCGTGGTTGACTTTTGGTTCTATGGTAGAGGATAAAGGACAGTAATAAGGTGTAAAAATATAAGGTAGTGTATAGTTCTCAATTGTAGTGTTGTTCATAATGACTAACATTTGTCCCCTTCTCCAATTAATGATACCAGTTATATAATCATTATTAAAAGTAATAAGGCCTGTCTGTTTACATTGATATGCAACCTTAACTGTGCACATTTCTGCGTTATAAGATCTAACAATTTTCTGTGAACCTTTAAACAAACATAATGCATCGGTTTCATTAGCTGTAGACACATTCCATATGGGTAACTGGTACTTATAAGGGTTACTATTTGTCCAATTCATCCAAATGCGTTCAGTGAATGAATGATTGCATATTGCATGCTGATAGAAAGGTGGTGGAGAAAGGTTCTTGAGGGGGCGTGTGTGACGAATGCTAGATGAGGGGCTAAGGCCTAATTGGGCTGGGGGTATTGAAGAATTGTTCATCATGTCAGAGTCTTTTTCCAGAACTTGCCATTGACTTGTACTCATAATGGCATTCAAGGAACAATATCAGAGGGAGTATAACAACTCCAGAAAGCATAGCACACAACATAATCTTGGTCTCAGGTACGTATGATCCTCTACGATACGGTGTGAAAACCATGATGCTTCGCTGAGGAGAAATTCTTCTGTTTCCGAGCGAGGAGTGGTGTTGTCTTCCTTGGTTCCCCTCTTTGGACACAGCTTCACTCGGGATGCGTGAATCCAGATGTCATGGGAATCTGTGAGGACAGCGGTTCTGGTTACAGCAATCACAGTAGCAGGTGGTCCAAAAGGGTATCCTCCTTTCTTGGTCCTGTTCAGCTGACGGATATACACCTTGTCACCGGGCTGGTATGAATGAGTAGGTTCCTGTGAAGGTAAGGGAAAACTGCGAAGAAACATTGTCATACATACCATTCGGTTTTATCAACAATTCACCTTGTGGGGATATATTCTTATCTCAGCTAAAATAGCTGGTAGATATCTAGTCCAATTTACCCATGTTCCTGGGTAAATTCTGGGCTTTTCCTTAATAGTCCTATTCATCCTTTCAACTACCACTGTATTCTGTGGATGATAGGGTATATGAAACTGCCAGGTAACTTGCAAGAATTTAGCAAGTTCCTGGGCAACCCCACTTGCAAAAACCGGGCCATTATCAGAGCCAATCTGCAGAGGGCAGCCATACCTGGGAATAATTTCAGTAACAATAATCTTCACTAGCATCCTCCCTAGATGTCACAAAGGCATCATGCCATCCACTAAACTGATTAACTATGACCAGTAAGTATTGCTGTTTCTTACCAATTTTGGATACATGAATAAAATCAATCTGTAAGTGTGTAAAAAGAGCAGTGTTCACACGATCTTACAAAAGACTGTACATGCTGCCTGAGATTCCTAATATAAAATGAATTCATGAAGAATTGAATGGTGCTTGCTATGTGCCTGACTGATGAAAATAAATCAGCTTGCTTCAAGTATGCCTATTCTTCAAGTATGCCTATTCTCCCCTCTTTAGAGAACAGATCATTCTGATCTTTCTCTAAACCTTATTTAATCCAAAAGACAGATTGTGGGTATTTAAAAAAAGAATCTCATAACCACTGAAGCGCTGGGCTGTCATGTGTTGTGTGGTGAGATTTGTCAGCTGAGTGACCTGGTGACTGGCATAAAGTATTGTAGGATGCCCTAGTGTGATAGTAGTAGCAGTTTCAACAGCCATTGCACATGCTATCAATGCTCTGAGACACGCCGGCATACCCTGTACCGGAGCTCGAACTACTTTGGAAAAGAATGCTATGGGACGCATACCGCCTCCTTGCTCTTGTGCACAGACCGCGGCCATGGTTTTACAATTGTCCCAAACATACAAATGAAATGGTTTACAATACACAGGTAGTCCTAAAGCCTGGGCTTGCACAATAACAACTGTAAGGGCAATATATGCAGCTAGCATGTCTGGTGACCAGCAGACATTTTCAGGGCTGTCAGAACGTACAGCCTCCCTTAGGATTGAGTCATAATGGGAGCATTCAGGGATCCATTGGTGGCAGTAATTAATCATGCCGAGGAAGGTGAGCAACTCCTTCCGAGTAGTGGGTGTAGGAATCCTCTGAATGACCTCAATACGTTTTGGACTCAATTGTCTGGTGCCTAAAGCCAGAACAAAACCTAAGTATTCAACCTTTGATTTACACAATTGCATTTTGTGTTTAACAACCTTGTGACCTACAGTTGCTGACAGTATCCACAGTGCTTGCCTCATAGCTAGGGCTACATAACAACAAATCATCAACATTTTGCAAAAAGGACGGAACCATGACCGGTGGTCCATGTTTTTTAGAGTATGTTAGAGTACCAACGAATAAACAGCTGGGGAATCCACATAGCCTTGGGTAAGCGTGTCCAGGTAAACTGACAGCCTTCAAAAAGTAAAAACCATAAGTAGCTGTGTCTCTTGATCAATAGGTATAGAAAAAAATGCATTACTTAAATCAATGACAGTGAAGCAAGTGGCATCATGTGGAATGGCTATAATGAGGGATGTCACATCAGGGACAATGGGTGAAATGGGCACAATTAAACTATTCAGGGCTCTAAAGTCCTGAACTAAGCGATATGCTGGCCAGTGGTGTTGGGAGTGGGTCTGGTGTTGTTCTTGCCTACCGGGCATATTTTGAGAATGGTGGGGTTGTTGGGGTGTGTGGGGTTTCCTGGGGTTTCCTGGGGTGTGGACACTCATTCCTCCAGTGGCCATATTGGCCACAGTTGAAACAAGTGTTCCTGTCTATTCCTCCTTGGTTACCCCTGCCCCTATAACCCTGATTTCCCTGTCTCCATCCCCTTGCCCCTCTTTGACCACCCCTTCCACGGGCTTTATGTGCTCCATCCCATCCTCGCTCTCAGCCTGTGTAGCTGGACATAATATGTTGCAATCCCTGAGCATAATAAGCAACCTTACTTTCCTAAATCTTTTCTTAATTCAAAACAACCTGCATTTTCCTTTTCTATAACCTTGGTAAGAAAATCTGAGCTATCCAAATTGGCCCAGTCTGAAATCAATTGTTTCACAAGCAAAGAATACTGTGGCAACATATTACCAAGGTATGACTGTATTTTAAAGAGATCTATATCATCTCCAGACATCAAACCTGCCTCATCCTTCCAACACTTGTAAAATTTCTTTACAAAAATCATATTACCAATCTCTTCCTTTGCATCCTGCTTATATGCCAAAGCAGTGAATATAGACTACCTATTCTTCCATAATCCCAACATTTCAGCTTCCACCTTGTTCCAAATTTTAGCACATCTTACTGAAGTACTATGCTCATAATCACCAATTCATTTCAAACCATATAACTCATACTCAGCATCCCATGTAATATTACACGTCATCTCACAAAGCAATATCTTTGTAGAAACACATAATGGGTACCCAGCAGATATGCCAATACAGAAATCACATTTATGGGCACACAACTACACACTCTGTCTCCCTCCTAGGAAACACGGATACACACAATATAAAAGCAATCTTAAACTAACACCTCCAAATCTCCAACTATTCTTGGCCAAAACGCTAGTATTCAACAACTAATAAAACAGTTATTTGCTAGGTTATTTGGCTGTCATTCTTATCAGTATCACTAGACTGTGACAAACTGATTCACATATAATTTAAAACAACACAGCAACATATAAATTAAACCACTTTCAAGTTAAACTGCACACTTATCACACATTATCACAATCACCATTTACACAGAATAAACAGTTAACAGCTGTATTCAGAACATATTATTGGAAGGTATACCAATTTTAGTTTAGATTTATTTTAGGGATTCTTATGTATACATTTTCTTAATTAACTTCATTACTTTAATCTACTATAGTATTGTATTTAAAGAAAGGATCCATTTATATAGCGCGCTCATAACTCAACTATTTGTATAAAACTTCCATTAACTAATCTGAGATGATGCTGCATCAACTTAAATCTTACAGAAATTATTTTGCAAACATCTGGACCAGATTAAACAGACATGGTTTCACCTGAATCTTTCAGAACTCTCAGAGACTTAAAAAATTTATACTATACCATGTTTTAAAGGCATGGCAAACCTTTAGACCGGTCAGTCTCCAAGAGCCCTTTGTAATACAGGTAAAAACCTTTTGTCCATGATGTCTGATTCAGGCTTTATACCACAATTAAAAATAACACATAATGTGAGACATAGAAGACACAAGCAGTAGTTATTACACTGGATCATTTAAAAGGAACCTGTTGCAATAAAAAGGTTAGTTTACAGTGCAAAATGAAGCATGTGTTGGACCGCTGAAAATGTAAATGTTGCTCTGTTATTTTCAAACAAAAATTATATTTACAGTATGGATCCTTTGCAACAAACACAGAGGGCAGGGAAGATGTGCTGATTGGTGTTTCTATACAATTAATCCCATATGGGGAATTAACTTTCAAATACTAATGAAGTGACTTTTTGTCTCAGTTATAAAATATACTGAGCTCATCATGCAAACAATGCAACACATTTACACTATCCCACTCTCATAATAAGTGTAGTGGGCTTATAGTATTTTTAAAGCAACAATCATACCAGGCACATAGATCCCATGTGAAATAACTTACAATAAAACAGAGTAATAAACTTATACTTCTATGCGACAGAAAGAATAAAGTAAAAAGATTTAAGTAGGTCTATCAGGTACAACCTGTGAGTCATTTCTTTTCTAATATACAGTACTGCTATCTTGCAGAAAGATAAGTCCTGCGCTCACTCCCATCACTACTGGGCAGCAGCAAGGACTACAGTACACATCAGCCCCAATATATGGTAAAAACCAAAGAAAAACAAGTTACCTGCGTTCTCTCCTTAATCCCTATGTATTTTTAAAACCTCCATTTGTTTAAAAGTACTGCTATCTTATATATACACATATACATATACACACACATATATACATACATATACACATATATACATACACACACATATACATGTACATATATTGGTCACTCAGGACATGAACTCACATTTCCCATACTGCTGACTCAGAGTGGGGACACTACTAACTTACCAAAGTGTGTCCCCAATATAGACAAACAATCACCCACAAAAACACTTAAGACAAACAAAGGTGACCGGGAGAAAGAGAAGTTTGGGTTATACTTAAAGATCTACAAACCATGCTGCTCAGAACACCTATAGACTTAATAAACCGGAGACCTCTTATGGTCTCAAAAACCTGTATCTACCTGAGATACCCTGTATCTATCTTAGATACTAACCTGGGTTACCAAAACCCTATAATAAACCGGAGACCTCTTATGGTCTCAAAAACCTGTATCTATCTTAGATACTAACCTGGGTTACCAAAACCCTATATATTTAGACCAAATGTCTAATAAACCGGAGACCTCTTATAGTCTCAATATAAACCGGAGACCTCTCATGGTCTCAATATAACTAGAGTCCTTAGACCTTTCCTATCTACTGGATACAGACTTACTGAACCAAAGGGGGGTCATAGACAATCAGCGTCAAATAAGACACAAAAAGGCTACTCACCGCAAATGGTTTTGCTGATCCAACTTCTATCTATCCCACTTCTAGACACCAAGCTGAAAGGGTTAATGTTGTAATGGACTCTAATCCCCTCGGTTCTCGATCCCTCGGTCACCATAATCAACGTTGATGGAGGATCATTTGTAAGCAATAACACACGGACAACAGCTTTACAAGACTCTCAAATGAGTGTATTCCAGAGCTGGCTTTTATACATAGTTTGCTTACATTAGCCATGGTATATGCAAATACAGTACAGACTATAAGATTTATTACTTCCTTGTATTACGTTATTCTGACAATGGAAAGATAAGCTTTTGCATACGTCTGGAAAAGAATATCCTTAAAATCGGAATGGGCAAGACATCCTGAAATTTAGCATTGTCTTACATCCTATAGAAGAAATACCTTAGTCTGTCACAGTCAGCATATTGACTTTAAGTATTCAATATCCCTTCAGTCAGCAATAATCATGTTATAAACCTTATAAAAGCATAAAATACATATAAACAAGTTAACTATTTAATATTCTTACACCGAGGTACAAGAGTTACCGTCGATGGCGGAGAACCCGTAGCCTACATCAGTCGGAAACTACTACTGCCATCGAGAAGGAGTGCCTGGCTGTAGTGTGGGCCTTAAAGAAGTTGCAACCCTATTTGTATGGGCAGTCCTTCTTCCTGCTCACGGATCACAACCCGTTGGTATGGTTAAACCGGGTGGCGGGGGACAATGCCCGGCTGTTGTGTTGGAGTTTGGCGCTACAGCCGTTTGACTTTAACATCCAGTACCGCCCGGGAAAACAGAATGGCAACGCCGACGGGAAAATATTTGAAGGGCTATTAAGGGATTATATTCAGGAATTCATTGGGAAGAACTTTGTTATTAGAAATAATCAGCATGGTTTTATGAAACATAGTGTAGCGGATGGTATGGGACTGTCCACCAGGATTATGTTTAAAAGATTTTTCGTGTGTTTAGCTTGCTGTATAATTGAAATTGTATGTGTAATTCGTATGCTTGTTCGGTAGTTTCATTCATATTTCATACGAATGGAAACTACCGAATCAATAGACCACCTCAGAGAGAAGTGTGTACGTCATTAAGGCTTTCACACTCCTCTAACTACAGTTATTCGGTGTTTTATTGCTATATCTGGGTGGCCATCTTACGCACAAACTCTCAGCGGTGTTTGGCCGTCGAGTGTCTGGAACTCAAATCGGACACTCGATTACCCGAACACCGCTGAGACCTCCAGAGCTCCCGAACGGAGGGGCCAATCAACCCCTCGTTCGGTGAATTCAATCTAACGAACAAGAGGGGTCATGCGAACGCTGTATTAGCCACGCATGGCAAAGATTAGAGACTGTTTTACCTCCCGAACGTAGACTGACCACAGGGCCAAAACACATGGAACTTTTTTCGGCTACCTATTTGTGTGCGGTCGGTCAAATAGTTTATTCCTCATAACTCCCGAACCCCTGGTCTGATCTGGTTGAATTTTTAGTATGTTGGTCATCCAGACCAGGGCTACCAGGGGATGCCACTTAGATCCTTGCACCCCACAGTTTTGGGGTATGTCCAGAAAACAGGGAAAACTATACCATGAATAAGTGGATTGTATGGGAGGGAACTACTGTACTATTGGTTACTGTTCTAATTATTGTAAATCGCTCCCTTGCATGGGAGAAACCTTTATAAGGAACTGCTCTGATTAAAAGTTTAGTTCTGCTCCTGATGCTGTGTGTTGTCCAGTCATTGGGATTGAGATTGGGATATTGTTGGAATATTTTGCCTGCTGGAAATATTACCCTGTGGATTCATAATACTTGTTCCTGAGCCTTACTGGGATCTAAAGTGGAGATAGGCTGTGTAAGACCAGCTCTCCGCTACACATAGGTCATGTCAAACTAACCTAATCGCATTCTACGAAGAAGTAAGTAGACGTATAGATCAGAGTGTTGCAGTGGATGTTATCTACTTTTGCCAAGGCATTTGATACGGTTCCTCACAATAGGTTAGTCTTCAAACTAAAATAAATTGGTCTAGATGAATATTCTTGTTCTTGGGTAGAACATTGGCTTAAGGATAGAGTACAACGAGTTGTCATTAATGGTAAATTTTCAGGCTGGACAAAAGTGGTAAGTGGTGTCCCACAAGGTTCTGTTTTGGGACAGCTTCTATTTAACATATTTGTAAATGATCTTGAAAAAGGTATTGAAAGTCATGTACCAGTGTTTGCAGATGACACAAAACTTTGTAAAGTAATAAAATGTGAGCAGGATATTGCTTTGCTGCAGAGGGATTTGGATAGATTGGGGACTGGGCACTAAAATGGCAGATGAAATTGAATGTAGAGAAATGCAAAGTTATGCACTTTGAGGTTAATAATACACAAGCAATTTATACCCTAAATAGTAGTAAACTAGGGATAACCACACAGGAGAAGGATTTGGGAATTTTTATAGACAACAAATTAGGCAGCAATATGCAATGCCAATCTGCAGTTGCTAAGGCCAGTAAGATTTTGTCATGTATAAATAGGGGCATAAATTCTCGGCATGAAAATATAATTTTGCCTCTTTATAAATCGCTGGTAAGACCACACACCCACTCAATTAAGTAATAAAAGTTATATTTTAGCATCTTTCATTTAGGTTTGAGGGACACCCTACCTTTTGACCTCCAGGGACTTGTGCTCTTAAGGGTCTTCATTTTGCTCATCGCACATTAGTGAGGGTGACCCCCTACAGGGTTGTCCCTGACACACAATCTCTATTTCCCCTAGGGGTTACTAGATCTTTGTTTAAGACCACACCTTGAATATGCTGTGCAATTTTGGGCACCTGTTCTAAAGAAAGATATCATGGCACTAGAAAAAGTGCAGAGACGAGCTACAAAATTGATAAAAGGAATGGAGCATTTTAGTTACGAAGAAAGGTTAAAAAATGTAAATCTGTTTAGTTTGGAAAAAAGGCACCTGAGAGGGGATATGATAACTTTATACAAATATATTTGGGGCCAGTACAAACCTATCTGGAAATCTATTCATAAACAGGGCTATACAAAGGACACCAGGTCACACATTTAGGCTGGAAGAAAGGAGATTTCATGTAAGGCAAAGAAATGTTTTTTTTTACAGTAAGAGCAATAAAGATATGGAATTCTCTGCCTGAAGAGGTGGTTTTGTCAGAGTCTATACAGATGTTTAAACTGCAATTGTATAAATACTTGCAAAAACACAACATACAGGGATATAATTTCCAATTAGTGGGGTAATAGCTGCTTGATCCAAGGAGACATCTGACTGCTATTTTGGGGTCAAGAAGGAATTTTTTCCTAGTTTGTTGCAAAAGTGGAAGCGCTTCAGACTAGGTTTTTGCTTTCTTTTGGATCAACAGCAAACACATATGTGAGGAAGGCTGAACTTGATGGACGCAAGTTTCTTTTCAGCTATGTAACTATGTAACTATGAGTCAAGAGGCTGCTGTGTAAGCCTGTAAGCAACACAGATCACTCCACAAATCCTAGGGTGTATTTGCATTTCTAACAGTCATGTTGAAGGTAGATTAAACAGTCTTTAAGTAACTATATATTTTAAGGATTTCCTAATGTTAGAGTGATGTAAGGCCTATTTAGATTCAGTGCCCCCCAAAGTAATAACAAAATAAATGAACTTACCTTAGTTCCCCGGGGTTCCAGTTTCAGCACACCTCCCATGGCTATGAAGGTCCTTACTGATGATTAGTAATGTCGCGAACATAAAATTTTCGGTTCGCTAATGGCGAACGCGAACGTCCGCAAATATTCGCGAACCGGGCGAACCACCATAGACTTCAATAGGCAGTCGAATTTTAAAACCCACAGGGTCTCTTTCTGGCAACAATAGTGAAGGAAAAGTTATTTCAAGGGGACTAAAACCTGGACTGTGGCATGCCGGAGGGGGATCCATGGCAAAACTCCCATGGAAAATTACATAGTTGATGCAGAGTCTGGTTTTAATCCATAAAGGGCATAAATCACCTAACATTCCTAAATTGTTTGGAATAACGTGCTTTAAATCAGGTATGATGTTGTATCGATCAGGTAGTGTAAGGGCTACGCCCGCTTCACCGTGACAGACCAAACTCCCCGTTTAATGCACTGCAAACAACCGCAAACAGAGGTGGCTCTATAATTAGGCGGTTTAGGCGGCCGCCTAAGGCCTCGCTCTGGCTGTGGCCTCGCGGCCGCCTAAACCGCCTTAAGGCAGACTGTGTGACCGAGGACCTGACACAAGGAGGGGGCCCGGCAGCTTGCCCGGTATGCCGCCGGGTGTGAGGCCCCTCCTGGCTGCCCAGCCACCATCGCAGACACAGGTCTGCAGCTCCGCAGTGAGTAGAGCTGCAGACCATGTGTCTCGCGAGAATTGGCCAATCAGAGCGTTGCCACGGGTTACCACAGCAACGCTCTGATGGTCTTGCGATATTACATGGTCTGCAGCTCTGCGGAGCTGCAGACTGGAAGAAGTGGCCACTGGACCACCAGGGAAGAGAATGTAGACTCCCTCCCAACCCTCAGCCTCCCCCCACCAGCCTCACCACCCTCAGCCTCCCCCCACCAGCCTCACCACCCTCAGCTTCCCCCCACCAACCTCCCCACCCTCAGCTTCCCCACCAGCCTCCCCACCCCACCAGCCTCACCACCCTCAGCCTTCCACCCCCACCAGCCTCACCACCTTCTCATCCCCCCACCAGCCTCACCACCCTCAGCCTTCCCAACCCCACCAGCCTCACCACCCCCAAGCTGCCCCTCAGCCTTCCCACCCTCCCACCAGCCTCACCACCACCCTCAGCCTTCCCACCCCCCCACCAGCCTCACCACCACCCTCAGCCTCCCCACCCGAAGCTAAGCTGGAGGAGGATGGTGCGTCAAGGTTCCGAGCGGAAGCTGTAGAAGATTGGGTGTCCTGTGTTAGCCAGTCAACTATGTCCTCAGAACTTTTCGAGTTCAGGGTACGTGGCCTCTGAACACTGGGCATTATTCTAGGGCCAAAGGAATCACAGCACCATGACCACGACGGCCCCTGTGGGGTGGCCTGCCTCTGCCTGTCATTTTTTTTTCGATTAGTGGTACTATGCGTGCAAGCTACTGTGACAACAGATATGAGTGGCACTGTGCAGTGGCAGAAGTTGACAGAGTAGACGCTGTAGGCCTGACACACACGCTTGCAGACAACTAACTGCTATTCAATCTATTACAGTCAAATTTTTTTTATTTTTTTTTTAAATGTACACTACTGTTACACCAGATATGAGTTGCACTGGTGTGACTGTGCCCTT